GCTATTGTCCGAAATCGAAGGTAACGGTAAACTTCTCACTGAAAAGAAGAAAAAAGGGAAAAAAGAAACAAGTCGTTTCGCAGGCTCTCTCGTCGCTCGTACTCGCGGGCAAACGTGCTCTACGTCGTCTGCGATACGCGCGAGGAAACGTGTCTCTACTGATTAATCAGCTGGCTGCCTCGACAACCAGATCGCCGTGAAACGCGGACTATCAAAGCGACGGAACAATAGGCGGGAAATTCCTGCCGATGGATGAAATCGTTCGAAGTTCGAAGACCCTACCGTGGTCCCTCGTTTCGCGGTTGGTTAATTAGAAACTTTCACGTGTGACCCGACACATGCACGCGTATCGCGTACTGCTGACGAATCGATCGACAAAAAAAAAAAAATGCGATTGCTCAGTGTTTTTTCTCTTTTTTCTTTCTTTCTTTCTTTCTTTCTTTCTTTCTTTCTCTCTAATTCCGTCACGCCATGGGAACGAATTTCACGAAAAGGAGAAGACGAATATTTCGAGAGGGAAGAACGAGGCTTTCTTTTTTTTTTCCCCCCGTGGACAACTGGCCGGCCGATTGAATGCCTTTCTTCTTTTGCGATCCGTGTAGAGACGGTCGCTAGGTTACTTCGAATCACGGTCTTCCGCAGCAGTAGGGTCGTCGTCTCCCTACTGCATACTTTCTTTTCGTACCGGGGGCACGAGCGTAGCGTGCAGAAGCGACGGAAGAGGGATCAGAGAGCAGCTGGGGGTCTAATCTGTAACGCGTGATAAGACGGCTAAAGTTTCGCGAGAGAAAATGAAAGAGAGAGAGAGAGAGAGAGAGGGAACGAGGGCACGCGAGTGTGTCTACTCCGTTGGAAAAACGATCTCTTAACGAGCCTCCTCGTTTTGCTTCCTTCTAGTAAGCAAAAGTGGACCGGGAAAAGCTAAGAAACGCGGGACAAAAATTGCAGGAAATCTGTCTTTCTTCGCTGTTTTTCGACAAAAGTAGTATTTTGCAAAAGTACATTTCCTGAAGATTGATTGTCGATGCGAGGTGACGGTTATCAGAAACACTATCTTTGTCCACGTTTGTGTACTCATTTTAAAATTGTTCACTTGTCACGAAAATACTGAATGACTTTGTTTCTAACAGATGTTAAATCTCTAAATTTTAATTGGAATAGCTAGTACTTAACCGATAATCGTCTCCTGGTAAATAGATGAAATTCTGATTGCAGAGGGTTAATTATATATTTAAGACCATTATTAAGTAGATAAGTAGACGTATAATTCTCATGTCTCATTCTTATTCTAAATGATACATTCTCGTACGATCAGACAATCTCGTTATAGTACCAATAAAACTTCAAAAACGTTCCGTGTTTGATATATCTTTCTCTTCTGTTTCAAATGATTACTGACAGCACATCTTCTGGAACTTTTTGAATTCACAATTTTCTACAAAAAAGAAAAAATCCTTGAGCTCGATATTCAAAGATCCTGCGTGCAAGTGTGCTCCACCAATCGACTCTAGATCCTCAAGGAAATGTTTCTTCCACTTCAGTTTCAAATTTCGTAGGAATTTCTTCGCAGTTTGTTTAAACTCGAGACACTTGTTAGATGTAACAAGTCGGAGAGACAGAAGCGGCTGGAAAATGGCAGGGATGATCGAGATCTTCAATCATCCACTTTTCCTTCGTGGTAAAAGTTTCGCGCATTATCGGCCATTAGATTTCGATACGGAGCGGCTCTGTGTCCCTCTATCTACGACGCCATTTGAGAATTTTCGCTTCCTACCGAGCGAGCGGCTCGTTATAAATAGACGAACGTACTAGAGATGGTAGAATACGCGTGACGCGGAGAGACGAGGAGCGATTTAATATCTGAATAATCTTAATTAATATCCACGGGGATAAATGGACTCGTTGCCCGTCTATTTACCATCTTCTTCTTCTTCTCCTCTTCCTTCTCCTTCAACGAACGCGCACGCTACTTATGGTGGTTTCCAGGCTTCGAGGAAGTCTGTGGCCATCTCGTTTGCAAGGTCCGACCCGATCGTTGTGTACAGGCCTTTACTTAGGCGCGTCCCTTACATTCGCGACACGCGCTGCACTCGGAGAATAGTCGCAGGAAAGTGTCCAAGCAAACGGACGCAAACGATCGAACGGGAACTTGCGAGTTGCGAGAGATCTCCAGGCAGCCAGAGAGCGAGATAAAGCTGGGGGGATCTCTCGCGACAAGCTCGGGAATTCAAAGAAGCCCTCTTTACTTTCTTGTTCGCTTCGCTGACCTCGCAATTAATCACATTAACCATCTCAGTTGAGGATTAAGCAATGATTTGTCGCATATTGTTCGATGTCTTTGAAATTACGTACACACAGGTGTACGTGTATGAGTTGAACAAATTTACTAAGTCTCGGTGTATATTGTGAAAGCAGAGAATTCGAAGGAGGCAGCTCCACTTCTTCAAGAAATAGAGATTTCGCCTTGCAGCCGATCGTGTAGATTTCGAAGCAGCGTTTGATTTTTAATCGCTTCCTCTTGATTCGCTAAAATTACCCTCCCTGCTGCAACAACCTCGTCGTTTATCAATCGATTGCAAAGAGAATTGCAGACGAAGTGAACATTGATTTAACGCTGATGCTTGGCGGGTTATGGACTCTTTCCTCTATGTTTTACCTAGATACAGGTTTGACTTTCGTTGCAAAGAAAACGAGCGAGGCAGACTGTACGAGAAGAACGAAGGAAGAAAGAAGACAATGCGAAGAGAATTAAAGAGGCGAAACGACAATTTTCAACGTGCGACGAGAAATTATAGAAATTTCTCTGGCCAGAGGGCAGTGTGTTGGTTGGACAGACGAAGCATGTAGCATTTAGAGATTCGTCGTCGGCTGGCAATGACGAGTGACGTTAGGAATTGGACGTAATTCTCCGTAACACTCCTCCGTACTTTGGCGCGTATCTGTTCGTCCTCGAGATCTCGTTTGCAACGCGCGGCCACTGCGCTTAAAACCAAGACGCTTTCGAGGTTCGTAGAACGACCTGGAAACGGGCGACCGTGGAGGCTAATTTCTTGGCAACGATAACGATAGCATCTAGCCGACTTATCGGTGTTGCCTCTCGGCGAAATAACTACGATATTCGATCAATACACGTGCAGGTATCGGACGGGTGAACAGACACACACACACACACACATACACACACGCGCGCGCGCGCGCCGTTTTCCACTCTCGATTCGCGTGGCCAAGGGCTGCTGTTCGGCGGTTTCGCCACGTTTCGTTCCGTCGTCGATCGAATGGGAAAAACGGAAAGGACAAACTTCAGGCAGGGAGAGAGAACACGCAGGATAAAACGCAGCCGTATACCTAGCCGAGTGGTTGAAACCCGGCTGGGAAGGGGAGAACGAGGCAACGGGATTCTAGCTACCTGAGAAACCTTCGGGAAAGTGGGCTAAACATCGTGACACGGCCTAACCGTCTCCTATGGTCGTGCCATTTATCTG